CCTCCTGTGTGCTGTGTGAATTGTCTCCTTGCCTGTCCTCCTGTGTGCTGTGTGTATTGTCTCCTTGCCTGTCCTCCTGTGTGCTGTGTGAATTGTCTCTTTGCCTGTCCTCCTGTGTGCTGTGTGTATTGTCTCCTGTAGTTTTATCCTTGACCTCTAATCTGTTCTTTAACTCTTCTCTCCAATTCATCGTCTCTACATCTCTCACAGCATTTTATAGCCCAGGCTGGCCTCAAAGTCATTATGTAGATGAGGATGGCTTTGAACATTTTTTTCCTCCTGCCTCTGCCTCCCAAATGCTGGATTATAAGCATGGTGCCACTACATTATACTCATATTACCACACATCTTTTTTCTTCTTTAAGTTTAAGTTTAGTGTGCATGTAAGTACTATACATGCATGTGGAGGGTCAGAAGACAACTTTCAGGAATTGGTTCTTCTACCACGTGGGACCCAGGCATTGAATCCAGGTCATTAGGCATGGTGTCACATGCCTTTACCTACAGATTCATCCTGCTTGCCATTACCATAGCATCTTTTTAAAGATGAATTTTTACTTATATGTAAGTGGTATGTCTGTGTTGTGGATGTGTACAGGTGCTTGGGGGCCAGAAAAGGGCATTCAGTCCCCTTGAGCTAGAGTTACAGGCGATTCTGAATCCACCCTCCCACCCCCCATCCATGACAGTCTGGGAATCAAACTTGAGTCCTCTAGAAGAGCAGCAAGTGCCAAGTATGGTGGTACACACTTGTAACCCCCATATTGGAGAAGTGGAGCTAGGAGGATTCTTGGGGCTCTCTGACTAGCCAGCCTGCCTGAATCAGGGATGCCAGGCTCGTTAAGAGATGCGGGGCCAAAACAAGATGGAGAGTGATTCAGAAAGATGCCTAAGGTCAACCTCTGGCCTCCACGAGGGAGAGCACAGGCACGCACACACGCTCACGCACACACACACGTGGGAGTCTAAGTTAGGTGTACATGCTTATCTTCTCAGCATCAAGAATCTGAGCTAGGGCCGGGCAGTGGTGGCACACGCCTTTAATCCCAGCACTTGGGAGGCAGAGGCAGGTGGATTTCTGAGTTCGAGGCCAGCCTGGTCTACAGAATGAGTTCCAGGACAGCCAGAGCTACACAGAGAAACCCTGTCTCGGAAAACTAAAAAAAAAAAAAGAAAAGAATCTGAGCTAGGAGGATTGCTTTGTGTTTGAGGCCAGCCTGAGCTATACAGTAAATTACCTCAAACAGAACTGAGCAGGGCTAATGAACTAATGATGTGGCTCAGTGCTAGAGTGTTTGCCTAGCATGCACAAGGCCCTAGAATTGATCTCCAGCCTACAATCAAATAAAAATAGAAGGCCAGTCATTTGTTTGGGCCAGAAGACAGCTCAGTGGGTACAGACACCTGACGGCAAGCTTGATAACCTGAATCTGCTGCCCGGAGCTTACATGTAGAAAGCAGAGGACTGACTCCTGCAAACTGTCCTCTGACCACTATGGAACTGTACGCTCTCTAAATAAATACATGTAAGAATCACTTGTAAGGGCTGGAGAGAGGTTCAGCGGTTAAGAGAACTGGTTATTCTTCCAAAGAACCCAGGCTCAATTTCCAGCACCTACATGGCAGCTCACAACAGTCTGTAATTCCAGTTCCAGGGGATCTGACACCCTCACACAGACATATGTGCAGGTAGAACACCAATGTACATAAAAAATAAAAATAATTTTATTTTTAATAAGTGGGTCTGACTAGAGTACTCTCCTACCCAGGCCAGGCCACCCTGCCTCACCACAGGCCTGCTGGCTGCTCATTGTTCTGTCACCACACCTGCCCTCTGCCCTGCAGAACCTCAGTCTTCACGTTTTTGTGCAGACTGTTCTCTCTGGCAGATACGCCCAGCTTTGCCCCTGCTCGCTCCTTCATTGGTCGAATTGAGGCTCATGAAGGTAGTTCTTTATCTTTATTAACATAGACCGTTTTTTAACCACTGTTTCAGTGCTTATCAGCATGGTGTTTTGGTTAATTATTTATGTGTGTATCTCTTTCTACTTGACTTTGAGCTTCTGAAGGTAGGATAGGCTGTATCTGCATTTTGATACCTAACATTGCTGGTAGGTAAAGGAATAGAATATAGGCCCTGAGTGTAGGTCGGTGGAAGAGCACGTGGTTAGCAATGTTTATGTACCTGGATTCATTCCCCTGGCATCAAATACGCGTGCATTGCCTTTATAAGACACAAAGCATTTAGCTTGGCTCCATTCTTTCTGAAGAATTGCACCTTACTGAAGAAGTGGATAACATCTTCCAGATTTACTCTGGTTTTGCTGTAGATGACACATAGAGGTGGAAAAGACATAGTTGATTTAACCCCAGATGGGAAACAAGAACAGACAAACACAACAGTGTGTTTATGTCACTCTCTGATAAAGCAAATGGCTTCTGAGCTTCCTGAACACAGTGTCACAACTCGAGGGCTGACTGCCATAGAGGAGTTTCTAGAAGGTCCTCCAGGAGGTTTCTCACAGTTGTCTCCTGGTTTGAATGAGTTCTAGATTTACTCAGCCTGAGAAGGCACTCAGTCTTGTCTCAAATGACTAAATCTCTCCTTTTCTCCACAGGGAAACAACTGGAAGGCATCTGGTAAGTGTGGGTCTCCTCACTGACTACTCTGTGAAGCAAAGCAGCTCACTGCCCAGTTCAGTGTCTGCAGCCCCAGGCTCAAAGCCTGGCTCTTTGTTCTCAATTCCCATAGCTTTTTTTTTTTTCTCCCTGTGGGGAGGGGTTAGTTTTCAAACAAGGTTTCTCTGTGTAGCCCTGGCTATCCTGGAACTCACCCTGTTAGACCAGGCTGGCCTAAAACTCACAGAGATCTGTTGCCTCTGCCTCCCAGGTACTGAGTTCTGAATGTTGGTATTAAAGGTATATGCTACTGTCGGCTGGCCCAGTTTTTATTTTTATGTGTATGGATGTATGGGTGTCTTTGTACTCTGTAAGTGCCTGGTGCTCAGGAGGCCAGAAGAGGTTGTCAGATTCCCTGACACTCAAGTTACAGGGAGTTGTGAGCCACCATGTGGGTGCTGGGAATAGAACCCAGGTCCTCTGGAAGAGCAGGCAGTGCTGAGCCATCTCTCAGCCCTGAGGCCAGTCTTTTCTACACAGTGAACTCTGGGGCTGCCAAGGCTATGTAGTAAGACTGTCTGAGAAAGAAAGGGAGGGAAGGAAGGAAGGAAGGAAGGAAGGAAGGAAGGAAGGAAGGAAGGAAGGAAGGAAGGAAGGAAAGAAGGAAGGGAGGAGGAAAATGTTTAGAAAAGTGCTTGTCCTAAGCTTACATACTCTTACCATTATTCCTGAAACAGTAGAGTACGATGATTCAGTGCCATTTTCATCATGTTAGACATTGTATGTCATCTTTAAATGATACTTAAAGGTGTGTGTACGTTCCATGAATGACCTATTCCACTTTTGGACAAGAGACTTGTGCCTCTGTGAATTTGGGTATGAGGGTGGGGACAGGCCCAGATCAGTCATCCCAGATTCAGAGGGACACTGAGACTGTCTTAACTCATGTCTTCATCTGGCTAATAGAAATTGGCTACCATGGTGACATCTTGGGGCAGACATCATTCTCACTGCAGAATGGTACTTGCTTTTTCTTGGAGAGGCTGTATGTTCCTGGCTCATTGTCCTCTCTGTGGCAGGCACACCTCTATAGTTGTACACAAGGATGAGTTCTTCTTCGGCAGCGGCGGTATTTCCAGCTGTACCCCGGTGAGTGTCTCCCCTTACCTGCAGATGTGTAGGGAGTGGGATCTTACTGCTTGAGAAGTTCAGCTTCTAGTGAGTACCTCTGGCCTGTGGCAGTTCCTCGTATTAGCATTTAAGCCAGGTATGGTGCTGCACTACACTTGCCTTTAATCTCAGCACTTGGGAAGCAACAGACAAATCTGTGAGTTGAGGGCTGGCCTGATCTACACAGAACGTTCCAGAACAGCCAGGGCTACATGGTAAAAGACACTTTCAAAAAAAAAAAAAAAAAGTAGGAGAGAGAGAAAAAAAAAAAGACTTAAGCTAAGTAGTTTTGTAATCCTGGTGCCTCCTCCAGAGGCAGGAGGATTGGTAGTCTTTCTTGGCTACCTATTGAGTTCAAGGCTAGCCTGAGTTACATGAGACGCTCTGTAAAAAGGAGTAGTGCGATGGCTCAGAGATGGCTGGGCAGGGCGGGACACTTGCACCTGACACCCGAGCTCCCTCTCAGGAACATACACAGCAGAAGGAGAGAGCCATCCCTTAACTCTTCCTCTGACAGGTGCTCACGGTGATGCTCATGCTCATAGCATACAGTGTAGTGAAACCTACAAACAGGACTTACAGTCAAGAACCCTAGCTGCGCTGCCCAGGTTTGATTCTCAGCATCCACGTAGCAGCCAACAACCATCTGTGACTCTAGTTCCAGTGCCCTCCTCAGGCACTGCATGCAGGTAGTGCAGAGACATACACATGCAAGAAAAACACATAAAAATAAATATTAAACTAAATATATATATACAGCCAGGGGGTGCTAGTGCACACCTTTAATCTCAGCACTTTAATTCCACAGAGGCAGAGGCAAGCAGATCTCTGTGAGTTCAAGCTCAGCCTGCTCTACAGAGCTAGTTCCAAGACAGCCAAGGCTACACAGAGAACCTTGTTTCTTTGGTGTGTATACATATATACATATACATATATGTATATGTATATATGTATATATATATATTCATAATTAAAAAAAAAAAACAGAACTGGTGAGATGAGATAATTCAGCAGGTACAAGTTACTTGCCATCCACCAAGTGTGATGACCTGAATTTGATCCCTTCAAACCAGATAGTGACTTTTATAAGTTATTCTCTGGCCACTTTGCATGCATACATATATACATTCACATAAATAAATAATGTTTAAGCAAATGTTAAGCCAAAGAAAGAAAAGCGGCCTTAGAATGCTTTCAGTAGTTGGAGGTGTGTCTCAGTGAACACTGGCCTGGCATGAAAGCCCTGTATTCCCTCCTCAGCACCCGGGGGTAGGGAGAGCAGGAGAGTGACAGGAGAAGAATCCTCAGTCATGACACCCTTACCAGCTAACCCACTCATTTGTCCTCCTCCAGTCAGCCCACTCCTGTGGCTCAGGTGACCTTTCTGATTCTAATACCCGTGTCCTTTTCAGAGTATTTCTCTCAGAGCCGTCTCAGGATTGTCATGGGTTGTACTGAAGCAAAGACCAGCAAAAAGCAAAATGTGTTCATTTTGATATCATAAGTAGAAAGTCTTTCTTACTTTTCACTGACTGTCCCCTTCATTAAGCCTAGTCACTTCTCTTTGTGCTCACTTTTGAAGTTGAAAGGTCTCGTGGCTGAGGCTGGCCTCGACCGTTGTGCAGCTGAGAGCCTGGAGCCTCCTGATGCTCATTGTCTTTACCTTCCGGGCTCTGGGCTCACAGATGTGTTCAAACCCAAAAAGCCTGGTCAGTTCTTAAGTCAGTCTATCTCTCTTCATCTTTTCCCATTTCCCAAGAGCTTTCACTGCAGTCCTGAGCACTTCCTATCTGGGCTGGACCTATGAAACTTGCCTGATCTCCCTCTGTCTTCCATGTTGGAGACAGAATTTTTTTTTTTTAAGATGGAATCTCTGAGATCGCCCTGCCTCTCCCTCCCAATTAAAGATATGCACCACCACGCTTGCATCCAACTTACCATGTAGCCATGGGTGACTGTGAGCTTCTGATTCTTCCCTCTTCATGACCGTAGTGCTGGGACTATGTAGCCCTGGCTATTCTGAAACTCTAGGTAGACCAGGCTAGCTTTGAACTCACAAAGATCTACCAGCTTCTGTCTCCTGAGTGCTAGGACTAAAGGTATGTACCACTGTTCCCTACATGATGAGTTTTAGATGCTGGGGTTTTTTGTTGTTGTTTTGTTTTTAAGGAATTTCAATTTTCAAAGTATTCCCAGTTTAACTGCCAGAGGTTCCACAAGGGTCTCCATGACCCCTCTGATTTGTCTCTGGATCCTTCTCTAGCCATCCTCTTCAGACCTCTGCCCTCTTCCTGCTTGACCATTTAAACCAAGACTCCAGCCTCAGGATAGCTCTCTAATCCTTCTATTGGATGTGCCTCTCTGTCCTTCAGGTCTGAGTGGGTGTCAGTTCCCTCAGTCAGATCTCAGCCTGGCCCTCCCCTGTCACAGGGACCAACAAATGACATTCTGCGTTTTTCCGGCACGGCCCTTATCTCCGCTTGTCGTGATCCACTGGAGTACACAATTTTTACCTGCCTTCCCTAATAAACTTAAGTTTCATGAGGACAGACATCTCGCATCTTGTATACGTTATACTCCCATTGTCTAGCTTAGATGTAGCGTGTAAGTTCTCAATACGTGTTTGTCATGTGGGTGAACAATAGGAGTTGCAACAGTGACCTCTTGTTCTTAGGGACATTAGGTAATTTTCCTCTGGTATCAAAGTTATCATAATTACTGCTTCTGCTCACCATGCCTTCCCCAAAGCCTAGAACAATGTCCACCTCAAGGGAAGTGCTTGGGGCCGTCAATCGATGGCTTTCCCAGGCACGTGTTCTGGAGTGTTCTGCTTTTCCAGAGTCTTCTGCTTTCCCAGGTCTACCTTCCTTGATGTCCTATTGCTTGCCCTTTGGCTCTTGTTCCCACTGCTTTACTCTCCTGTTGCAGCCCAGCTGTCATGTCCTGCCCTTGTGATCATCTACTGGGGACAAAAGAAGACCAAAGGTTCTAGGTTTCTGTCTTTTTGTTGTTTGTATTTTTCATGATAGGGTTTCTCTGTGTAGCCCTGGCTGTCCTGGAGCTCACAGTGTAGACCAGGCTGGCCTCAAACTCACAGAGATCAGGCTGCCTCTGCTCCAGAGTGCTGGGATTAAAGGCATGTGTTGCCACACTCAGCTAGAGTTCTGTCTGTTTTTTTTTAACCAGAGAGTGAATGGATAGTGCAGAGACATGCACAGGAATCAGCTTCCAGGCCCCACAAGCAGCCAGAAGCCCAATTTTTCACTGTGTAATCTTGATACAAACAGGAAATAGCCCTCTTCCTGTGACAAGAATGTTCCAGCAGTTAAAGATGAAGCTGATGGGATAGTTTTTTGTAGTTTTATGAAGGAAGTCACAATAAAAAAATGTTTTCAAGCCTGCAGCAGTGGTACAGACCTGTAATCCCAGCACTTGGGATGTACTGGCAGGTGGAGCTGTTCAAGGCCAGCCAGGGCTGTATAGTAAAAACCTGTCTAAAAATAATCTAACAGATGGGAAACATAGCCTTCTGCTCACAAGATCCCTTAGTAAAATAAAAAATTAAAATGTTAACAGGATGTTGGGGTCTCAGCAATCAAGCACTTGCCTAGTGTGCTTAAGGCCCTGGGTTTCATCCTCAGAACAGCCAAGAAAAAGAAAAAAAAAAAAAAAAAAAACAATCAGTAGAGACAGTGACTTAGTGACTTTCTTGGGTTGACTCTTTCAGGGAGGGACATTGCTTGGGCCCCCAGACTCTGTGGTTGATGTGGGGAACACAGAAGTCACAGAAGAAATCTTTCTGGAATACCTGTCCTCCCTGGGGGAGTCTCTGTTCCGGTGAGTAAGGACAGGGTGGTGACTGCTTTTGTGCTCCACTAGACAGTCAAACCCTGGAAGGCCGGGCCAGCTTGGCCATCCCGGACCCTCAGCTCCAGCCTCATTGCTCTTTACTCTCGTTAAAAGAGAAAGTTACTATGCTATAGAAAGAGCCCAAGTCTCTTCAACAGCCAGCATTATATCTCAGCATGCTGTCTGCTGAAGCCTCAAAGAGAGAGAGGCTCCTCAATCCTTCTGATTAGAATCAGTGAATGGTGTCCACCACCACCTCTGGCCAAGTGTTTTTCCTAATAGAAAACAGGGTTTGTGGTAGGAATGAGATGAAATACCAACTTACATTAATTGATATTGAGAAACTGAAGTCAGGCTGAGGATGTAGTTCAATTGATAGAATGCTTTTCCCATCATGCACAAAGCCTTGTGTTCAATGCCCCCACACCACAGAAACCTAAACTGGTATGTTGGCACATGCTTTTAATCCCTGCACTCCAGAAGTGGAGGCAGGAACATTAGAAGTTTGAGGCCACCCCTGACTACATTTGGAATGAAAGGCCTACCTGAGCTATAGAGACTCTGTCTCAACAGAAGAAAAAAGTCAAAGACTGGCAAGATGACTCATGGGGTACAGGCATTGCCATAGGTGCAGCAGCCTGAGTGTGAGCCCCAAAGCCCACACTGGAGAGAGGACCTGCTCGCTCTCACACATTGTCCCTGACTGTATTCATGTTTACACACACACACACAATAGATGTTTAAAAAAAGATCGAGGAGGGGCTCGAGGGATGGCTTAGAGAATAAGAACATCTCTTGAGAGATTCTTAGAAGATAAAGTCCGGGGTTCCCAGGACACACATGGAGACTCACAACAGCCTGTAACTCCAGTAACAGGACTTACAGTCTTCTGGCCTTCACAGTCTATAGACACAAACATGGTAAACATACATTCATACATATACATAAAATAAGTAAATAATTTTTTAAAAAAAACTAGACAATTTTATTAAGAGATCACCTCTAATCCTAGTTCTGGTGTGAGTGTAAAGATTCTGGAACTGTGTAGAAGCCATGTGTTTCTGGTTCATCTTTCCCTTGTAAGTCACTGCTCGGAAGTCCAGGTCTGCAGATCGCAGTCCTTCTGCAAGGTTTGAGAGGACTGGTCGTAGTCCTCACATAAGGCTCTGCCTACTTGCCCACTCCACAGTCAATCGCTCCACACAGATGCTGCCAGCCTTCTCACCTGCTCTCCAAACCTCTCTCCATGTACAGAGGAGAAGCCTACAACCTCTTTGAACACAACTGTAACACCTTTAGCAATGAAGTGGCGCAGTTCCTGACTGGGCGGAAGATCCCTTCTTACATCACCGACTTGCCCTCAGAAGTTCTCTCCACGTGAGTGTGACCACTCTTTCTACCCCTGCAAACTCTGAAGAACCCCCATCTGAGGCAGTCATGAGAATCAGACCGGCCTCAGCTCCCTAATAGACTTCCTGGGAAGAGCCTGGGCTGTGTGAGACCCTGTCTCAGAAAGAAAAGGAAAGACAGGAAACCCTCAAACTTAGTGCCCCTTCCCTAGGGCAGCCGAATCCTCCCAACCAATAGGACCTGTCTGGTGGCAAGTTCCACCACAGAAGGTCACCATTGTTCCCACTACCAGCGCACTAGTCTGACCTTCGGCCTCCTTGGAGCTATGTTTACGTGCCACCACAGAGTTTAGAAACCCACTTGACATAGCTTTGATATTTACATGAAACCCCAGTGTCTTATACACAAAGCCATTTCCCAAGAGTGCTTATCTATAATTCAGGCTTCGGTAGGTGGCAGAATCCGGAGTAACAGGACAGCCCAGTTCCAAACTGTGGCTTGTCTCAGTCATCCACACCCTGAGCTCTGATACCCTCAAGAGACTAGATTCTGCTTGTCCTTGGATTCACAATGCTCGGAAAGCCCTTAGCAGAAGTTTCCTCTGCCCCTGATGGGGTCCTTGGGAAGGGCCTGTGGGCCATCACCCAGATGACATCTCATGAAAGAGCACATACTCCCTTTTCTGATTGTATCAAGCTGCCTCTGCTTGCTCTAGGACTTGTGTTACCTCTGGTTTCTCCTGAATTGGGTGGGGTCCTGACCAACAGGGATAAACTCCCTGGCAGATAAACTCCTCAGTTCAAAAAAAACAAAAACAAACTATGTAGAAAACAGTAGGGCTGCTGAGGAACCCAAGTCTCCCAGGCCTCAGACTGTCTTCTACCTGATAGATGTCCAAAACCGCATGGCCCTGCCTCCAGATCTAGGTCCTGAGACTCTGAGCGAAGTGGAGTAGCCAAAGGCTTTTGCTGTTAGTGGGTGGGGTCCCTGGGCTTGTCTGAGTGGGAGTTGATTTAACACTTGGAACAGTTTACAAGTACTTGTTTTTAGGGATGGTTTAAATATGGCAGTATCTGCTAGGCACAGTGGTGTACGCTTAGAATACTAGCACTTGTGAGGCTAAGACAAACAGCATCACAGGGATTTGAGACTTGTCTGAGCTACATAGTGAGTTTGAGGCTAGGCTGGGCTACATATTCAGTAAGAAAAGGGGGCTGGGGGTGGGTAACAGCCTCTGAGGATAAAGCCTGTGTGCATAGTGTGTCGTGAGCCACTTCATCTTTCATGGGCACTTACTTTTTGAAACAGGATTTCACTATGTAACTGGACTAACCTAGAACTCACTACATAGACTATATTGGCCTCAGATGCACAGAGATCTGTATGCACAGCCTAGTGAGTACTGGGATTAAGACCTTAATCACCATGCCCAGCGTGAGACCACACCCAGCATGAGACCATGCCCAGCGTGAGACCAATCTGAGGGTACAGTAATCTTGAGTTCTCCAGACCCCATTTTTACAGTGCTTTTCCAGCCAATCATCATTACAGAAACAAACCAAGTGCCCTCCAGAAATTGACATCAACACTTAGAGTAACTGGTCATGCGAAGTTCACATGACCAGTTAGTTACTCTGAATAGAACAGTTTGTTTTCTGGAAGAATCTTAAGTTTGAAATATGCTCACTCCCAGCTTATCATCTGATTCCTTCTGCTTTTTGCCTCAGTTTCTTTCTCTCTCCTCAGCTTGTATTGTCTTCAAAAGAATTTATAGAAAGAAGCTGGGTGTTTTAGTACATGCCTGAAATCCCAGCACTTGGGAAGACAGGAGGATCAGTAATTAGGGCTAGCCTAGTCTACATGAGTCGTGTCTTAAACCTATCCCTTCTGTAGCCTGGTCTACAGAGTGAGTTCCAGGACAGCCAGAACTACACAGAGAAACCCTGGGGGGGGGGGGGGGGGGAACTATCCCTTCAACAAAGGATACAAGTACATCAATACAGAAAGTTCCAGTGCCCTGTGGGCAGCCAGTCTGTTCCATGACAGCTCAGCAGGCCTTGTAGGATCAGTAATAAGATGGTAGGGCCACACAGAAAAGGGGGCCTGGGAGTAAATCCATAAGACAAGCTATTTGGAAGATTGTTAGTGAGCTTTCTGCTCCTGGAGCAGAGGTGAGATACTCAGTTTATAAAGAAGAAGACTTTACATTGGCATGCTGCCTTGCCGGAAGTTTCAGTCCATGGTCATCTGACACTGTTACCTTTGAGCTTGTGATAAAGAAAGTCACCATGGTGGGAGCACATGGTAGAGCAGAGCTGCTTCCTTGTGGTGGCCAGGAAGCAAGAGAAGGGAGAAGGTTCCATTGTCTCCTTCAAGGGCATGTTGCCAATGACCTAACAGGACCCACCTCTTAAATGTTCCACAGCTGAGAACCAGTATTAACACATGGATCTAGGTTGGGGAACACTTAGCAAACCTAACGAAAACTGTAGTAGTAGATGTTGATTAGCCAGAGACCCACAACAGGCCAAGTAAGAAACTGGAGAATGAATCCTCAGCCTTAAATGGAACAGGGGCCATAGAAAGAGCTTAAGAGCCAGAGGCAGTGGATGGCTTACAAGGAAGCAGTGTCTTCTGGATACAGCAAGGCAGCGGAACATAGGAACTCACAGCAGTGACTGCGTGCACGAGACTTGGGCAGACCCAAGCCAGACCCAAGCCCAGTGTGGACAGGGGAGTTGGACCTAAAATCCCACCTCTGCCTGTTAACTGCTGGGAGAGGGAAGGTCAGTCTTCTCCAAGAGTGTAACTCCTGATATGTCTGTCATGCTCCAGTGGAAAGCCACACATCCAAGAATGTTTGGTCAGTACAGAGTGGCCTTAATGGGGGGAGAAGGTAGGCACACAAGGAGGGTAGGTAGGGAGGTGGGGGGATCTCAGAAGAGTTTGAGAGGGAGGGTTAGTAGGATCAAAACACATTGTATGAAATACTCAAAGACCATATATTTCATATATATATATATATATATATATATATATATGTATGTATATGTATATATATATATATATATATGTGTGTGTATGTATGTATGTATGTACACAAACACTAATATACTAATATATTTATAAAAATAATCTCCACGCATGGTGGTACAAGCCTTTAATTCCAGCACTTGGAAAGCAGAGAGGTAGGCAGATTTCTGTGCATTCAAGTCTAGCCTGGTCTACATAGTGAGTTCTAGAATATCCAAGACTGTGAAGAGAGACTCTCAAAAAAGAAAGCCAGTGTGGATGGTACTGCCGTGACCCGCATCCGTGGCTCCCATTCTGTCTGTGGGGAGGCTGCACTCCGAGCCTCCCAGCTCATGTCTGTTTCTCCACAGGCCCTTTGGACAAGCACTTCGGCCCTTCCTGGACTCCATCCAGATCCAGCCTCCAGGAGGGAACTCTGTGGGCAGACCCAATGGCCAAAGCTAACAGGACTGCACGGGACCGCCCTCCTCTCCAGGGCTTTTCCTTTTTAAACAAAACAAACCCTACCAGATTTCTATTTTATAATTTTACATCAGAGCTAACAGGGACGGCTTTTTAAATTTCCCAGGGAAGGAGCTCATCGGGTGCATGTAGGACAGTGCTCCTGAGAGAACAAATGCCGTCCCTTCTAATAGTATTATACTAATTTATTAAGGCTGTCTTGTCTGTGAGTTCACTTTTGACGCTGTTGCCTAAGCGTCCTCTACACTGGAGAGAGAGGGTGCTTGCTTAAAGAGAAAGCAAGAGTCACAGTCTGGGAGAAGCCCATCTTGGACCCTCTTTCCAGAGAACACCCACATTCCACCCAGGTTGCCACACCTGTGGGACCCAGGTGAGTTTTATGCTGTCCGCTCCCCTGGGGCAGTCACCCTCTAGCAGTAACTGAACCAAAGGACTTGGAGGACACGGGGGCCAGCTGTAGGCTTCTAACTCAACCTAAGTGAACTCTTTAACCACACGTTTGCCCCCTCCTCCCGAGACAAGGCCACCTGTCACAGCCGGAGCAGCCGGAGCATCAGGATCAAAGGAGACTGGCAGCAGGGGTGAGGCCAGAGAAAACAGGAGAAAGCCATTCCTCCTCCTGTCTGAGTGCCAATCCTCGATGCCCGCCCCTAAGCTGCTCTTCTTCAGCATAGCTTGACCTGTCACCTTTAATAAAGGTCTAGGCTCCAGCAGCAGAGACACAGGCCTTCTGTCTGAGAGTAATTCCGTCAGTTATTTATAGTCAACAGAGCCAGCCACTCAAACCAGTATGGATTCGTCAGCTAGATACTAGGGGGACATGATTGTTCTCCTGAATCATGTCTCTGATATAGAAAGAATACCATAATGATGTAGATTCATGGTGGGAAGAAAATTTACAGTTCTCCCCAGTAGGAACTTTTACACTATCCCTAATGTGTCTTGAATAGACATTTATCTCCATTGTCATTCTGACCTTACGGGGTGCGGTTGGGGTGAGAATGGGCGTTTTCCTAATGATATGCTGCTAAGATTTCATAGGCAAGAATAGCCTAGAAGTCTATGACCTAGACTCTAGATTCCAGAGGGACCTTAAGGTCCCCTTCCTTGGTGTCAGCCTTCTACTAGCTCATATAGGGGACTGGATATGGAGAAGGGAACTCAGAGCAGGCACCTGAGACTTGGATCCACAACCTTGGGGAGTCCCCCACCATGGTTTCCTGCCACTTCTGAAACTTGAGCCCAATGTTTCCTTCTAGGGCAGGACTTTCCTCCCTGAAAAGATCCTATTGGCTCACACTTGCCCGTACCCTGCTGTCTTTGCCACTAGCCATAGCAGTAGGCATCATAGAGATCTCTGCCTCAGAGCTGACCTGTTGCCTGACCAGAGCTATGTCCACCTAGGATGTCAGGTGATGTTTTGGAAATTGAAGGTCACAGTCAAATGGATCTCAAGACTCAACAGTGTGCAGGCTTGTGTGGCTGTCACAGGGATTGTTTAGTGTTGGTCTGTTTTGCAGAATGTGGCTTAGAAGGTTGAGTGTTCGAAGCTTGGTGTCTGGGAAGGTAGAGGTTGCTGGAAGCCATCAGTTTTTCATTTGCCTGGCCCCATCTGGTAGCATCTCTGCCCAGAGCTCTCTCCTCTGTCCTCAGGGTACTCTCACATGGCCATTCTCTGGTTTCCTCCTCATAGCAGTAACACAATAACCATGATATTCTGAGAAGTTTGCTTGAGGATTTTAGTCACTTAATTGCTTGAATTGTCTCCTGTCATGTCTAGCAGCCATCCATGCCAATGCCTGTGGCATGGCTAGCAGAGAGATAGGAAGACTGGACAGTCTCTCTGATCTCAGCTGGAAGGCAAGCTCTCCTTCCCCTGTGCAAGTCCCACTGTCACCAGAATCCCAGACCAGGAACCCAACGTCCCACCTTTACATTTCTCTGTCCCAGTATCTCAGGAGCCCTGTTCATGACCAGGCAACTCCACCTGGGCATGTACAAGCGAGCTGAGAGGAAGAACAATTGTGTGGCTCATGTCACATAATAGACACCCCTGTCCACTGGTTAGTTGGTCAAGGGATAAGGGAATGGAGGCATGAGACCATCATCCTCTCCTAGACTGGTGTGTTTCTTTGAGATTCCTCCATGACTTCCTTGAAGTCAGACTAATTATGTCTAATACGGAGGTGTTTGCTGGTTTTCATTGGTGTTTTTTTCTAATACAATAAATTCATTTCTGCCTGCTGCTGTGCTGAGTTGCTTGAATCCTGGCAGGAAGCATCCCCAGGCTTCCCTATTTGTCTCCCTCTGAGGGTAACTGTGCTGCCTTTGCTTAGTTGATAGGCTTGTGGATGAGTGATGAGCAAGGGTAGTAAGGAAAGGTGCATGGTTTTCACCATTGGTCTATAAAGATAGAGAAAAGGCCCAAAGGGAATACTTCTATACTGGGCAGAAGGCAGGAGGATTGCCATGAGGTTGAAGCTACCTTTAGGCATCCATGCGTGTTGCCCCAGTTTGGCTTGCAACTGGTAATAGGATAGCTTCACATTCTAAAATGTTCCTCCAGGATCATTAGGACCATTAGGAGATGTAAGAGTTTCCACCCTGAAGGGAGACCAAGCAATGTCTAGACCCCTCCTTATAAGGTCCCAATGACAAACCAAAATTCCCTTCCACCAAAGCTCATCCTGGAGATTGAGTTTATTATTAGGCTGCTCCTAGAGCCATAGGTGTTCCAGAAAGGAGTGTGATAGCCCTAAGCAGCCATACCACCAGCAAGCATGATGGCTTTTCCGTCACAGCATAGATGGAGAGCCCCCCTTTAATCCTTCCCAGACTACGTACTCTCAAGACCCCAAGGTCACACACAATGAGAGCAGAATTCCATACAGCTAGCTGGGAAGAGCAAATACTCTAGAGAGCATCCAATGGCCCCTCCCCAGCCCTTTTATGAGAGAATATGAACAGTCAGCAAGCCTCAGTTGGACTCTAGGGATAGGGGCATCTGATTTCATGAAGTGGCAAGTGTTTGTTCTCGCTTCATCTCTGGTCCTGAATAATAAGCACTGTGGTTGCTGGTCAACTTTCTGGAGGGTTCCCTGGTACCTCCAGGTGTGCAGCCTAGCTGGTTGTATGCAAATTCCAGTAGGCCAGGCCTGTGGTAATTCTTTCCCAACAACAGCTCAAGGCTAGGGATTGGACCCATTACACAAGAAGAAACAAAGGCAGAGAAACATCCAGGTGGCAGGTGGCAAAGCCGTCTTTGAATCTGGGCCATATTCTCAGATGTCATCACTGAGGCGTGGAGCCTTTCCAGTGTGCTGGTTTCTACAAGGCAGAGTACATAGGGTTTTGCCTGACTTACCTGCTTCCTAAGAACACATTAGGCAGGAATTTTTGAGATCCCTACTCAGATAACCAACCGCCTAGGCTACCCACCTTGTAGGATAGTGCCACTGTAGCCAGTGCTTGGCACAGATCGAATGCTCAGTAAACTTCAGGTTACTAAGATAAGCCTTCCACAGCCATTGGCTGTGGGTTTCCTTAAATCAGTGTCATGCACAGGCCAGTCCTATGCTAAGTGTAGAGCCACCTGCTTCTGGAGGGAAAGAAAATGACAGAAAACAGCTGTTTACACCCTTAGGTTTTGAGACAAATGGCCAATCACTTCTGGGATAAGTTCATTCAACCTTAGTATCCCCTTTGAACTCCAGACCAAGACCCTTCACCTAGCCATTTCCCTGAGAGCCACTGCAAAGCAGTGCTGGACTCTGTGCTCAGGGACAGCACCCAGTTGGGAAGGGGAGGCCTTGTCTAGTCAGGAATCATTCTATGGAGAAAACTAGGGGACAAACACAGGCGACAGGAGAACCTTAAATGATAACGTGGGATGACAACACACTGTGTGAGGGAGGCCGGATGTGAAGAGGTGGAAGAGGCTTCTCTAAGGATGGGGTAGCTGCTTGAGACCTAGATGATACAGAACACAGATGGAGCAGGGAGCTCATTCCAGTCAGCTGAGCCAGGAAGAATAATGGAGGTGCTGAGGAGAGCACTCCACAGCGGCTGAGCAAAGGAGTGAGCAGCTGTGTGGGGACAGGACCACACAGGGGCGTGGGAATCGGGGAGATAAGCTCCAAGAAGTTGCTCTGGAAACTGGCTGGAGGTGATGCCACAGGGCAACAGGAATTTGGGTGAGGAGGGCTGTGCTGTGTAGTGAGCGATCCATGTCCGGTGCCTAGATCTATAGAGAAACAACACAGTACAAGGGCACATAAGAGCCTCTCTAAAACAAAGACCAGAGGCTGGAGAGATGGCTCAGCAGTTAAGAGCACTGACTGCTCTTCCAGAGGTCCTGAGTTCAATTCCCAGCAACCACATGGTGGCTCACAACCATCTGTAATGGGATATGATGCCCTCTTCTGGTGTATCTGAAGACAGCGACAGTGTTCTCATATAAGTTAAAATAAATCTAAACAAACAAAAACCAATGAGCAGCTCTGGGACCACAGGGCCATTTATGCTGCCTCTATCAACTTCCCTAAGCCTGCCTCCAGAAGCCCAAGTTTGATTTAAGAGGTATGCTTCGACTTCTCAATTTTTTTTTCTTTCAAAACAAATATTTGTGCTGGGCAGTGGTGGCACACACCTTTAATTCCAGCACTTAGGAGGCAGACGCAGGCGGATTTCTGAGTTCGAGGCCAGCCTGGTCTACAGAGTGAGTTCCAGGACAGCCAGGGCTATACAAACCCTGTCTGGAAAAAAAAAAAAAAAAACAAAATCCAAAACAATTTGTGCCAGGTTGCTCTTCACATGGAGTCTGTCCTGTCAGGTACATGCCTTGCCCACAATCCGAACACTTGGGAGGCTAAAGCAGAAAAATTGTCACAAAGTATGGACTTGCCTGAACTACAGAACAAAGCCATTAAAAAATTGTAATAAGGTATAATGGCAGTAACGCTCTGAAAAAGAAAATGTAAACATGCTGGATAGAACAGGAAAAGAATCCAGCAGGCACCTGTCACACCACTGAAGGGAATGCCCTGGTGAGCCTGGGGACAAATCCTGGTGTACAATGTTGCCCTGTTTCTAGTGAAATGTTTGTACTGCAGTGAGAAGTACGAACACCAGGGGGCACTGTGGACCTGCATATTACCCCAGGCCTCAGCCAAATTCCCAAGGCTTGCCAAGGCTTCTGTGAACCAGGCTACTCTTGACTTTCAAGGGCCTCAGTGGATAACAGCCAAGTTCTTTGGCCCCATTTTAGTAAGGCCCAACTGAAACTTGTCCCTGGACACCAACCTCCAAGTCTTGATGAAAGCGCTGGACCCTATCTGTTACTCTGCGGTTTCGCAACCTCTGACCTCCATTCCTCAGTCCACATCCACTCCCCTTCCTCACTCCTCACCCAGCACTAAAGGCCATCATCAGTAAGACCTTCCTCCTCTCCCCATGGAAGCTCACCCCCTGCCGAGGGTACATTTCCCCTACAGTTCCATCAGCACCTCCTTGGGTATCAACAAGGACTAAGGTTGGATTGGGTAGGTCATGTAAACAAACACTCTCTGGGGTCACTGAGAAGCTTACCAGATAGAGGGTCTGCTTCAGGGTTCTTGCTGGTAACCCTGAGATGAGAGCTCATCCCCAGAACCTACTTTAAAGCTGGAATGACCATTCTAATTCCACAAAGTTGTCCTCGGACCTCCATACATGGGCCCTATTACACATGCACCACCGTATATAGCACGTACAACAATAATAAATACGTAAGTAAATGCAAAACCAAACCTCTTCTGGACTGGAACGCCTTTGGATTTAGATTGAACCTTTGACACCGAGACCTTGGCTAAGACCTTCCCCTCTCTAGGCCTCATGTTCATCTGTGGCAGACAAATGTATCTGTTGTCTCTAAGATCTGTCCAGTCTAACAGTTGTCCAGACCTAGCCTGAGCTATGGCTTGGTCACATGCTCCATCCAGTACTCCAAGGCTGCGCTTTGATCCATAGAGATCTATTTTGTCCCCACTGGCTGAAGAAGTTCCCAGGGGGACCAGAGACAACCCAGCAACAGCCTCCGGCAAACACCGTCTGAGCATGCGCTCAGCAAACACTGAGCATGCGCTCTTCGTCCTTGTTTAACTTCAGTAGACTGCCCTATTGGGAGACAATGTAAACACCATGCGTTGTAAAAGAAAAAACAACCCAATAGACCCACTCTAGTGATTGGCAGCTAGCCTTGCAAAGAGCCTCTGCAAGTCCATGGCTTCCCTGCACCTCAATCTTCCTAGGCTAACCCTGTTAACAGCTTCTAATAAGAGAAAGTGACAGAAAAGATCCACCTATTTCTGAGTTCAAGGCCAGCTTGGTCTACAGAGTGAGTTCCAGGACAGCCAGGGCTATACAGAGAAACCCTGTCTCGAAAAACCAAAAAAAAAAGAAAAGAAAAAAAGAAAAGATCCACCTGTCCAAGGTCACCAGGAAGAACAGCCTCATGAACTGTCAGTCTCAGCCCCTTCAGGTTTGAGTGTCCACCCTTAAAAAGTCACACTCTAGGTCTCAAAAAGGAGGCTGGTGGCCCCTAAATTATTACTTTAAAAAAATTATCTTAGGGATAGAGAGATGGCTCAGTGGTTAAAAGCTCCCGTTGCTTTTGCAGAGGACCCAGGATCAAACATTCATATGGTGACTTATGGTGACTTACAGTTCCAGGGGATCCAAAACCACCTCTGACTTCCACAGGCGCTAGGCACACACATGATACACATACATTCAATTAAGCAAAACATTTGTACATGTAAGAAATGTTTTTAAACTAGTTTTACCTTTTTGGGTTTTTTGAGACAGGTCTCACTATGTAAACCTTGGCTGTCCTAGAATGCTCTCTGTAGACAAGGCTGGCTTTGAACTCATAGAGATTTAATTGCCTCTGTCTCATAAGTGCCAGGATCTAAGGCTGTGCAACCATGCCAAGCCTCTAAATTCCTTGCACTTGTTAATGTGTTGCCTTTAAATAACAGCCCAGCCAAGAGAAAGCAGAGCATTTAAAGGGACAGAAATGAGTGGGAGAAAGCTTTCATGTAGGAGCCACGCCACGCAGACCGAACATGGACAGCACTTACCACAGACCCTCAGTCTTGTGTCCTCAGACCTGTTACCACCTCGTCAAGCTGAAGTAACAGGTCCTTGGCCTATAATCCTGCCTTGCTCTGGTTGTCAAAGTCACCCACTGGCCAGTCTTCCCCTTCC